GAAGTTCAGAGCTGGAAGGGTTCCTATTGATCACTGAATCCTGTCCCTGTCAATGAAGCATAATGGGGATTCGATCTCCCAACCTCTTATGGGGATAGAAGTGAGGACTTAAATAAAACAATACCCCAACACCAATTTTAGTGAAATCCCATTCCCCTGACCCAAAAGCAATTAATGGACAACACAAAAGGTAAGATTGGAGTGAGAATGTGTGGCCCTCCAGCATCCATCAGTCCTAGCCAGCACAGCTAATGGCCAAGGAAAACTGGGAGTTGCCATCTTACCTTCCTGAGGATGACACATTGCCTGTCCCCACAGTGAGATCACAAGGCCTCTTCCGGCCCACTGTAATGCAAATACTAGGGGTGTCGTTAGGGTGGGATGGTATAGACTCCCTTTTGTCCTGCACTTCTGCCGCCAACTTTGAGCGCTCCTCCTCTTCCTCATGCACCACTGTGACACCTGAGGCTGAAGCATCTGGGTTGATTTCTGCACTATCTATCTCATCCTGTCTGCTAACAGCCAGACATCTGAAGCGCAATATTCTACACTTATTTTGTACTCCTTGAATGGTGAGATTTTCATGTCAACAGAGCAGTTTTAAAAATAAACATGGTGTTGCTCCTCACATGAGACAAGGCCAACATGCCTGTTCTTTTTAGAGAAACTTGAATATTTTACAAAGGCCGGGAAAGCACCACTGAATTCAACTCAACCAGCTGCATCAAGCCCTACTGCTTTCTGCTAAACGAAATGTCTATAAGGCTGAACAGACGTGTATAACTGCTACCGTTGGAGGTTGCAGGATTGTGCATGGCACCTCCTGGACTAATCCCCTGGAAGTACAAAGTTTTCTAATGGCATTAATTCACACGTGAATAGCTGTGAGTCACCAAGTGCTGAGTAGTCAATAGGTGAAAAAAGCACATGATGCACATACACCTTTGGGAACTGGCCCTCTGTTTCCAGTAAATGCTCCTACCCTGGATGTCACTGAATGCTAAAAGCCATCCAAGACAGCACAACTGCATCCATTTTATCAAGAGCAGCATCTTCTTTCCCTTCCAATGAAAATGGATGTCTGACCAATTTAAGGCTATGGAGGAGGATGTATCATGGTGACACAGAAAGCCAGGTGTTGAGTCATCTATTGCACCAAGGTCATGCAAAGTGAGGCCATCTAAAGTCCAGTCACCAAGCCTCCTGCTGGACATGGACCACAGGGGGGAACAGGAAGCCATGGAAATGGGGCATGAAGGTCTGCATACAACAACAGAGGCACACCAGGCTGCATCTAATAGTGTGGGCTGTGAGAGCCAGAAGAGACAACCCTAAAGGTAGAGAAGCTGCGGATCACCAGGTATTACTGAATTCCATTAAAGCCAGCATGGGCAGTAGTGAGGGTGAGTTCAAAAAGCTTTTCTGCTTGGGACAAAGAACAAGATGCTGCCCTTCATTTCACCTACAAAAGGGGATCAGGTTGGCAGCTGAATCTTATTCAACATTTGTCATGGAAGAGAATGTCCCATGTCACTTGAGAGATGTAGGCTAGGCCAGGCTATCGGGCACAAGGCATGATACAGAGAACATACAGTTCGATGCAGAGGAACATACAAGAGATGCCACCATAGCCTTTTCCATAGCACTCACCAGCTACTGTTTTAGCCAGTCACCTCATTGTACCTAGGGATAGTGCTTGCCCTGACAATTGTCAGGGATGATGGGAGATGATGAGCCAGGAATAACTTCAGCACCACAGACTCACCATCCCTGGCCTATAGTTAATGAAGGTGGATCATCAGATGTCTTAATAGTTAATGAAGGTGGATCATCAGATGTCTTACTTAATCCTTGCACTAGAGGTGGCAGTGGGTCCATATCTAAGCCCTTCACCATTCAAAGCAGGTTCTACCACTCAGCAACAGAACATCCTCATTTAAGGCCAAACTGCTCCAAGCAGAATTCAGTGAAGCAACAACCACCACCAGATCATGCTCTTCACCCAATGCTTGGGGATGCGTAACCCTGCAGATGTTGGTGGATCACAATTCCCATGAACTCCTAGCTGACCATTCCGACCACAGACTCAGCTTTGCATGGTAGGTGGTAGAGAAGAAAAGCTGGGTATCCTGCAAGGGCCATCTCCAGTTTGATCATAGTATCATGATAATTCAGATATTTCACAGGAAAAGAAAATCATTTTGATACTAACGGAGAGTCAAGGTACTTTTTTCTGTCCTGGACAAGTCCACACGCACTTTATACCATATGCTGTGATGGAGCTATCCATACTACTGCTCAAGAATGTTTCTATGGGTGACTCTTATTCTTTGATACAAGTGAACAGAGCAAGCAAACACCCAAATGTTCCTACCTTTGTTCCATCTAGAACTTCTGGATCTCTAGATGTTGTCTGGCTGACAATACCATTAAACCAAGATAGTGTAGTCAATTGTGTAATGGAAGCTGCAGCCCAAGAATCACATGGAGGGCCACCATTGCTTACCAAGGTCTAGACCAGTGTTTCTCAACCTCGGGTAACCCAAGTGTTCTTGGACTATAATTCCCAGACACCTTCACCAGCAGCTGTGCTGGCTGGGGTTTCTGGGAGTTGCAGTCCAAGAACACCTGAGTTACCTGAGGATGGGAACCACCGCTCTTGACAATTTCCCCCAATTATGTTGGACGTTTACAGTAATAAATAGTCACCTATAATACCTGGTGAGTTTGGATAGTCCCATTTGCTTGTTGTAACACCCTGCCCAAATATACTATTCCTATGTGGCATATATCAAACAATGTTATATCTTCTAATTACCCAAATGCAACTCCGCAATACAACTCATAGCTCTTTAAAATCAATAGGCAGCAACAGAGGGATGGGTACCTTGCATCAATTATTCTCAATCTGGTGCCTTCAAAATTTGCTGGATTACAACTCTCATCAGCCCCAGACAAGCTGTTGGATGATAATTTGTTGGTTGAAGGACAACCCCAGTTGTAGTTCAATGCATCCCAGTTGGCAATAGTTTTGGGGAAGGCAGCTGTACAGAATACAGACCAGACACATCCCAAAGGGTTTCTAAAATATCACAGCCAGTCCTTGGGTCTTTTAATGGCAGCTTCATCTCTCTGAGGTATTCAGCAGCTTAAGTCTTTCATAGGACAGAAGCACACACAGTCATTTCCAATGTATAAGACTATAATATAGATGCCACATCATAGGAAGCTAAAATCATTTTCATGTTCTAGAAACATGATTCCAATGGACTTTCATGTCTGATCCATCTTACTTGCCAATGGAGTTCAGTGTGCTTCCAGAGACCAACCATCAGAAGTATGAAAAAGCTTATTCTGTGACAATCAAAAGTCTCAGCTTGTATGGAATCCAATGATATGCTTTCTGTAATGGATAGTATATACAGCACTCTGTTACAAAAAGCATTTGAGCTGGCAGGTCAGGTTTTGGGGCAGTAAAAAAAAATTCAGGTTTCAACCTCAGGCCAAAGTACAGAGCAGAAACTCAAATACTTTTAGTAACTCTGTGAAGGAGAGGATAGTTCAGCGTTGAAGTCACAAGGGTGCTGTCCTCCTTTGCCCCAATGTGTTTTAAAACCTGCCCACACGCTTTTCACTACATGCTCCCATCCAGAGCAAACCTCTGGCCAAACAGCATGTCCTCTTTATTTTCAGCTCCACTTTCCATAAAATGTCACAGTGCTCATCAGTGACATCCTGTAATACAGGAAAGTGACCTAGCACTGGATAAGTTGCCTTTAGCAGCAGAATGCAAGATATTGATAATAATCCAAGAACTGCAGAGCTGGAAGGGACCCATTGAGTACAGCCCCTGTTAAGGAGGCACAGAGGAGAACCAAACTCCCAATCTCTGGCTCTTTGGCAGATACCTAAATCCAGCAGTTCTGCCACCCTTCAATACCACCTATGTGTTAGCAAAGTCTCCAAATCAACCTTGACCCTGTGGCCGCTCAGAAAACCCTCCCCTCCTATCACCTCACAGCTGTTCAAGGCATCACAATCCTCAGTCTTACAACCCAAGACTTAAACATTAGAAGGCAGCCCGAACGAGCCCCTGAAAAAACTCCAAGCTTCTCCGCCCCCCTGCAATGGTCCGCATTTCATGCAGAGGCCAAAATGTAACACAGCCTTCAAATCACAAGATATGCCAAACGCCACACCCACACCTCACCACCCCTCTCACAGGGTCCTCATACTATCCTCCCAGTTAGATTTCCCACTATTTACACCTTATGGGTCACATTTCTCCGTGGGTTTGGGCAAGTCAGAGGAGGGGAAGGAGCAGCAGAGAAGGAAGAAAATCCCCAACCTGAACAACAAATCTAATTCAGACGCGACCCACCCTTCCCTGGAGAAGCTAGATATATATTTTAGTAAATGCCCTGGGACATAAAGATGCCATCCCCAGGGGGCTGGTTTTTCATATACGAGAGAAAACTACGCCCATTCGCCCCTCCGTCTCCTTTCCCTAGAGGGCACCTTTCAGGGAAAAGCGTCCGAGGAGGGAAGCCCCATTTCCAAGCCAGAGGTGCAGGGGAGGTGAACCCTGCCTGAGGTCACACGTGCTCAGAACGGGGAAAGCCCTTTTGAAACCTGGATGCCAGGCGCTGACTCGGTGGACAGAGGAGGAAAGTCCTTTTCATATGCCCAGAGGCACGCTTTCCTAGCAGGGATGCCCACTGACGTCAAGGGGGGGAAATCGGGGGAGAAAGGGGAAGATTCTCAGGAGCTTAGACCGCGATTGCAGAAGAGAATTTTCGCGGGAGGAGGAGAAGTCCCCACAAAGCAAAACCCGGGATGAAGCCCCCGTAGCGATGCTCGGTCCGCGCTCGACCCCGAAGTGGGGAGGGCGGCGAAGAGGCCCCCCCCCCAAAAAAGACCGAACAAAGCTGCACAGCGGGCAATTCCCAGCCGCCCGCCCCTCCCCGACGTCCTCAGCCGCCAGCCGGCCCCCGACTCACCTGCTCCGCCGCCTCCGGGTCCAGATGAGGCTCGAGCAGCGGGACCGTGAACTGGATCTTGCGGGGACTGTTGGGCTCCATGCCGTTCCGGGCCGTCGAAGGAAGGAGGCGAGCTGCGAGCGCCTGGGACCCCTCG